AGGTTGACCACTTGACGAAGGAATTGGAGGCTTACGAGCCACAGGGCCGTAAGAAGGTAAAAGAGAATGCCAATGATAAATTTGCGAGGATCGAGGATATTATCCAGGCAAAGGAGGATTCGATGAAGTCCCCGATGAAGAAAAGGAGGAAGACGCGACAGAACAGCCACGCAGTCGAGGAGGCCGAGGAGATAATTGTGTGTAGTTTAGAGACTATTCGCCGGGCCGAAGAGGAGTAGAACCATCAGATTTGTGTGTAGATTGCTTGCAAATTGGATGAGCTAGATGTCTTTTATTATGGTGGTGATGGTGGTGCCAAAATTCCATTGTGGGGTCGATTCCGCTGTTGGGTCCACACGTCTAGATCATGTTTTGGCATGCGGGGGGACATGCACGTATAGGTATGTATTTCGAGGTTATGAGGAAGCGCCGTGGAGTTGATACTGGCCTAAACTTGGCACAGCTGGACCTGCACTTCATCAAGCATAGTTATTGATGCGGATTGGTATTTGGTGTTGAAATTTATATTTTTCTTTTATCTTTGTTTTTTTTTATTTTATTTATTTATAGAGAATCAGCTTCCGGCCCCCATCTTCGCTTACGCCCAGACAGGGCAAGCTGACATTCTGTTATGCTGTCCGCTGACAGATTTCCATACCGCCCGAATCTATACGAACTGACGAGTATATTGTTTGGGATGTGGGTCGGGTCCAGGTGACCGCTTATGGCAGGTCCGCTTTGGCGTTAGCCATGAAACCGCCAGGCGCCAGATTTGGAGTGGAGCATGCCAATCACTGATTTTTGGTTGTATAAGGAAAAGGGGCACGCCGTTGTCAGCTCAAGTCTTGGATCGCGACATCTAAGTTTTCCACCGCCAATACGGAGTACCAACCCACGTGTGGCCAGCATCGCAAAAAGGAGTCTTGCAAGCCAATTCGGTAGCCCGGGCAAGCCACACGCGTTGAAAGTGTGACATGGAAATCAAACTCGACGAGGATGATATTCTCGCCCGCTTCGACCGTCTTGTCGATCAGGGTATGGTAGTTTACAACCAGGACTACCGCACTGTCACTGTTACAGACCAGGAGCTTCCGGTAAGCGCATCAATACTATACCGCCAGGTCATCATTTCTAACGCCATTCCCAGTTCGAATTCCGCATTCTCTCGAGCCTGACAAACAAACCACAAGCTCCGCAAGACCAACAATCGCAAACCACTTTGCAGCAACCAGGGTATCGCCCAGGAAGCGATATTGACGTATCCGGCTACGAAGCGGCAACACTTGGGTCGACTCATTTACTGGCTTTGAACAAATTCCCAGCTGCGAGGCCACACCTCCTGATCCTCACCCAGGATGGGTTTCGCCGGCAGCACGAAGCGCTGGACATGGACGATATCACGGCCGGCAGCCAGGCAATCTCTTCGTTCAAGAGCCGGTACTTGCTGCTCTTCAACTGTGGCATCAACAGCGGGTGCAGCCGCATGCACAAGCACATGCACATCTTTCCCGCGCCTGACCGGGACAAGTTCTCTCTCTGGTTGGACTCGGACGAGCCGCGGCTGCCGTTCAAGTTCTTCATGAACCGCTTCCACAACGGGTTGCCTTCAGCCGCGGAGATCTTGGATATCTACCGGGCCCTCCTACGCCAAGCCGAGAGGGCGGTGGGCGGTGCTGCGGTGGAGGGAGGTGCAGCGGTGCCTCACAACGTGATCATGGATCGGAACTGGCTGGTGGTAATACCGAGACGCTCGCCCGGCTGGGAAGGGGCAGATACCAATGCAGCGGGCATGCTCGGCATGATCTGGGTCCACAACGAGGAGAAGATGAAGATTTGGTTGAAGAAGGGCCCAGCAAATGTGCTCTCTCGAATCGGCATTCCGGCGGACGAGAACTGGCCTTATTAGAAGAAACTGGATAAAGTAGCTTAGGAAAGCGTCAGTTAGCATTGAGTTGATCCCCGTTACTTAGCAGCTAAGCAACACCCGCTTGCCAGAGAATGCACACCCCAAAGTCAAACACCATGATTCCAGCTCAATGCTGGCCGCCACTCCTCCTCTTCCTTTCCGTGGGGTGGGTTGGGCCGGGAGGGGATTTCAAACGCGGAGTGTTCAGGAAAGCCGAAAAAATTGGAAGAGGATGCTATTGCCATCACAAAACGGAAACTGGCACCCGTTAGGGATGCCAGGGTTTGGAGCGGTATATATTCCTCCAACAGATGCAAATTGAGTAACTGAAGAACCAACAATTTCAGACCGCGTCTAGATCGGGAACAAGTCAGAGGGATGTAGAGGGGATGCAGTTGCAGCCCGTGGCGGATGGCTGGGTAGTGAACTTGGGCGACGGTCGGGCTTCGCTCACAGTCCAGTCCTGTGTGTCGCCAATTATTTTGACAGGAACAGTGAGTGCCCCTGTGGTACTGATGATGAGCCCGTGCCCGGGCAGCTTTGAGGTTCTCATTAAACCTATGCTGCAAAAGCCAGGCTGTATTGTTTCCTGTCCTTGTTTCGGCGGGCTTTTGCGTGAGCTGGACTTACAATTTATTAGTTTCAAACGGGACGCTTTTCCAGGTTGGACAGATGACCGGACGAAACATCCAAATACCCTAACCCTGAGAGTTTGCGAAATCAACCCTGACCCCAACTACTGTAGCTTCTGGAATATTCCTGCCTCTTCCAGTGACTGACAGTTGCTTCGCGATCAACCAGGCAATCGAGCTTCGCAATCCAAGCACGGTCGACCAGTTTCTGGGTGCTTCGCGACGCCGCTCAAGCATTCGTAATGTTGGTTACCTGCACCTTCAAGATGGTGCTTGCACCTTCTGTTGAGCATGGCAACCGAGTATTTAAATCGTGCGATTTCCGAGTTCCATGAAGCATGTTTCCCAGAATTAACATTCACCAACACAGTGAAGTCTCACAACATCCAACAAGTGATCAGCTTCTCAAAACCCCACCCGACTCAACAACATTCCACCAATCACCACATCTTCACTGCCATCTCAGTCAAACAACATGATGTCCTTCCCCGGCTCTTTCTGCACTCCTACTGTTGCAGAGACCAGCTTCGTCCCGCTCTTCCGCCTCCTCGAGGATTATGACAATTACGCCCGCGAGGTTCAGCGCAGCCAACCCGCCCCGGCATCCCGTCGGCAGCGTGCCAGGCAGCAGCGCTCGCCGCTGACCACCTTCACCCCCAAGTTTGATGTGCGGGAGACGGAGGAAACCTACGAGTTCCACGGCGAGCTGGCCGGCATTGAGCGCGAGAACGTCAACATCGAGTTTACCGAGCCGCAAACCATTGTCATCCGCGGCCACGTCGAGCGCACCTATGCCCCGGAGTCGAACAACAACACCACGAAGGCACAGACCACTGAAGCCGAGAAATCGCACCGCAACTCGTTCCACGCGACAGTCGAGGACGACCCGGAAGACACTCCCGCCTCGACTCCTGCTTCCAGTCCCAAGCCGGAGGCCGCGAAGCCTGCTTCTGACAACCAGCAAGTCGCCAAGGCCGTCCCGGCGGAGGCGCAGAAACAGCCCGAGTACTGGCGCTACGAGCGCTCCGTTGGCGAGTTCTCGCGCGCCTTCACATTCCCGGTGCCTGTCGACCACGACGGCGTCAAGGCCAGCCTCAGCAATGGTATTTTGAGTGTCACGGTGCCCAAATCGAAAAAGCCCGTAGCGAGGAGGATCGAGATCAGCGCGTAACCAGTGGATGAAACCCTGGATGTGTTTGCATAGAACATGAAATGTCCGAAGGAAGCATGAATCGGAATGGGATAAAGGGGCTAATGGTTATCAGCGGTTCTGGGCTGTACTTGTATGGTCACCTCATGGCTTCCAGGGAAAGGAAGCAAGCGGGATTGGGGCTTGGCGTTTAGGCTTGTCCTGGGTTCTTTCTAGCAACAGATCAACATAGACGGCGGATGGAATGAATTCAGTCTCCTCAACCCCTCTCTCCATGAAATGTGCGCAACTTGAATTCGAATGCTCTGCCGATATGCCACCTTGCTGGCCCACCGGCGCGGTCTTCTTGCCATCCGACTCTAACGCCTGAGGAATGGAGCGACACGGAGGATAGCTATCGCGCATCACGCTGTTTCCCAATGAAATAGAGGCCTGGGAAGTTGAGGCGGTTACGTCCGTCTACTACTCCGTCATTGACAAATACGACTCCCAGGTCTTCCACCAGATCCACGACGATGTGCACCGACTAGGTTCCAACCTGGCGCTCCCCAGAGAATGCGAGACTTCTGATCTTTGCGATCCAGCTAAGCAGCCGCCTAGACCGCATTTCCGCAATCAATGGGGAATGACTGATTATTGTGTCCGTGTGAACAAACGACTCAGGCAGGAGGGGCGACCCTGGTGGAAGGTACGACTTTACTTGGCCTCGATCTTTTGCACACAGTCATTCTTTCGCATCAGAAACCACGATCATCTCGTGTCACTGATGGGGAATAATATTTGCTGGCCTGCAGGGTTCGAGGTAGAGAGAGATGTCTTGGCTATGACGCACAATCCCGCCGACAAAAGGCCGCGTTCTCAGAACGAGACGAAAGGGAGGAGCGCGATGACTCTCTAATATACCGGGACGATGGCGAACTGGACGCCCCACGGCGAGCGCCCACCGCTGGCCTGGAATTTTTTGTGGGGTGAGAGGTATAGCAACTGCTCGGGCACTACATTCAACCTTGCAATGACTTGAGATGACTTGGGTTATATCATCTTGGATGCCGCTCGGCTGGAGAGCATCGGGGCCATGGACGTGCTTCGGGAGCGCAGGGACGAACTACGGCGAATGCAGGCCGGGCTGAGCCCCCGAGGCTCTGTGTGTTTGAGAGGGTATGTTACACCCGGTTGATACAGAACAGATCCGAGTACAGCCCCCAGCTCGCACTAATCACATTTAGTTCATGTTGCCCCGGCATCACCGCGACAGCATTGTATGATCTCGCCTCACCCTAACCACACGAAACCATCCCACCATCCTACTCACCCAGCGATACCAGACCCTCACTCATCCTCATCCTTGCTAACGGTACTCGTCCCCCCGCCACTCGCTTCCGCAATCACCCTGGTCCGGAGCACCTCCCCCGTGGCATCAACATACACCCAGCTCGTCACCTCCAGCCCTGGGAACGGCGCATACAGATACTGCAGCTCAAACTCCTTAACCCGCTTCGGTTGCCCCGCCTCAGCATCTTCCTCAAAATAAACGGTTCGGTTATGCCCGGTGAACACCATATCTCGCGCGTAGTACCCGACCACGCGCCGCTTGCCCACCTCGGCGCCGTCGTTGTCGAGATACTCGTCGTAGATGTCGCCGGTCTGGGCCAGCACGCGGTTGGTGTGGGTTTGGCCCGCGTAGTCGTTGACGCTGTAGAGGATGTTGTGGTCGAGGGTGTACGAGTCGGTGTGTGAGTTGGCTGTGTGGGAGCGTTTGGTTTTGGAGGTTGGGCTGGATGTTGCAGTTGGGAAGGAAGAGGAGGAAGACGATGATGAGGATAATCCCCCTCCGCCGCCGCCTCCACCACCGAGAGTGTCGTTGACGATTTGGGTCACTTCCTGGCCCAACGTTGCGATGATGGGGTTCAGGTCAATGCTGCTGAGCACGTCGTCAACCATGGCCACGACGTTTCCGAGCCGGGCTTCCAGCTCGACCTTGGCGCTGACGTTTTCGATGGTCAGTTTCACGCGGTCGATGCTGGCGTCCACGCCGGCGTTGAACTTCAGCAGCTTGAGCACTTGAGCGTCGAGGTTGATCTTGGCGGTGATGTTGTCCACCTCAACGCCGATGTGGCCCACGCTGACAGACGCGTTGAGGTAGACGTCCGGTTCCTCGGGGAGGACGAGGCCAGGGTCTGTCGAGCTGGTCTCGTAGACGGCGGATTCTGGGTCACCGCGCTGTTCGAGGCGGTACCCAAAATAGCCATCGTCTCTTTCTGCAGCAGAGACGAAATGGAGGAGGAGGGCAGGAGCCCAGAGCAGGAGTACCTTCATGTTCACCCTTCGTTAACTGTTACTTGATGAAGGGATGGATACTGTGGAAGAGCAATGAGATATCGCTCGAGATTGGTTTCGCAGTGAGCGAGGTGAGGGGATAACGACGGCTACGGAGCGGCTTCCACCCCGTCCTCATGGGAGCAGGCACCCTTTGGGCAGATGGACTCGATATGAGCAGGACTCGCATGTCATTCATGCCGTGGTGTTAGTGTGTGCCCAAACATGCAACCATGGTAACCGTGCTTAGCGAGCCGAAATATCGACGGGGGTGCTGCCAAGATAAACTTGGTCAAAACCGACCCGGCCGACGGGAGAATGCCATGGGAAATTACGGGAGTGATGCGGGATCTAAAACCATGGCAGTGCCCCTGACTATCTGCTACCCCACGCCAAATGCAGCGTCTCATCGAGCCGTTAAGGGAACCCTGCTGACTAGCTACCCCTGAAACACTGTTCTTGGATGCGACCCTCGTCCCGCCGTCAAGGCATGAGAATCAAGGAATAGGAGATGACAATTGCGCTCCGCATGATATCCAGGACAGCGAATCTGGCCAAACCTAGGAACCGTTCTTTATATTCCTTCACGGTGAGGCATTGATCCTTGGCCTCCGCTCCTGCGAACGGCGCCCAAGCACTCGAAGGCGTCTTCTCTCGCGGGTTTATCGCAAGCTCACCAGCTTCACACACTCCCTCGCACGGTTTTCCCTTAAAAGCCACCACCACCAGCATGATGGGACTTTGCAACACACTGCTCCGGGTGCTTGCGCTGCTGATGCTCGCCGCAATGGCAGCAGCACAAAGCAGTGAAAGCACCTCCCCGAACACCGACACAGCCTCCTCGCCGCCGACATCAGCAAGCAGTCCCTCTTCCTCCGCCTCCCCAACCCACGGCACCCAAACCAGAGTCTCCACCACCGGAGGCGGCCTCCCTCCCCTCCCAACCGGCACCTCCCCGCCCGACGTGCTCCTCCGCGTGCCGGAGCTGCACGTAGGCCGAATCGAGCTGGACGTAGACGATCTCCGCGCTGACCTCAACCTCAACGCCGAGATCGCGAGCCTCGTCTCCCTCAACGTGGGTGTGCAGGTCGGCATCCAAAAAGTCAACATCACCATCGCCGACGTCGACGCCAAGCTCGACCTGGTGGTACGCCTGGGCAACCTGGCCAAGATGGTCAACCGCACGTTGACCTCGCTTGACCTCAATCCGCTGCTGATTAACGTTTTGAATGAGGTGGGCGATGTGGTGGATGCTGTGGTCGGGGTCGTGGATGGGCTGTTGGGGAGTATCGTGCGGGGGGATACCAAGTTGAATTTCTTGATTGATAATCTGGGGAATATTGTACAGGAGGTGGTGGAGGGCGCTGGAGAGACCGTGAGCACCATTGTGGGGAACTACGAGAAGAATATGACTTACACGGGCGTCTCGAAGCAGCTGGGGAATGGGCTGACGCAGAAGACGTATCGGTATGACCCGCTGGGGAGTCTGGTGAACATCATCTTCAATACGCTGGGCCAAGTGGTGCAGGCGGTCGTGGTGGGGAAGGACAATTCGGGAGGAGGAGGTGGTGGGAGTACTAGTAGTACTACCTCTGTGGTGTCGACTGCTACGTCGAGTGATTCGGCAACCGCGGGTACTTGGGCACCGACGGGGACAACAACGGCTGCGTAAGAGTTGTATGAATAGTTCTCGAGGCCCTCATCATAACAAGGTTCAACTTTGATGAGCGCGACATTGTGTCTAAAAAGAGGACGTTCGGCTCAGTTTGGTGCTCACATGGCAGTAATCTCAGTCCATACGTGCAGTCTTCTAGGCCTCATTTTGGTTAAGTCATGAGTACCTAAGGTATCTTAACCAAAGCCGGTCAAATGACCTTACCACGGACATGGAGTCATTCCAGATGCCCTTTAATGTACTGTACCTTAGTTCGGGACACCGGATAGCTGGTAGCTGGCCCCGCAAACCCGGCCCTCAACGCTTGATCAAGGCTCCCTCTAGTATGGCAATGAAACCCGCTTACCCGAGTAATAAAAGTCACGACAAACTATGGAATGGAACCGCCCGTGCTGGCGGTATCTTATCAGATGGGCGTGAGCTCCGGGGTTCGGGGCGAATGCCCACCCCCTTAACTGGGCTCAGCCGGGTTACTCTGAGCGGTTAGGTTATGTTGCATCGTATGATGGGCGCGTTGGGCTCACAAAACGTCAATTCTGGAACAAACTTCAACAGTCGACCTCCGCAAACGCATCGACTTGGGTTTCTTGTAATCACTCGGCCTCATCGAGGGACCCATTTCACATCGCCAAAATGATGCTCCTGATTGCGGATTATGTGATACGAAAGTACTTTACGTTCTTGCTGCTCTCTTGACCAGCAAATTTGTACCGACTCTTCAATCTACTAGCGTATTGGCCCGAAACAGAATCCTGTTCGTGGCCTTTATCCTATCCTTCGTGCTGCTGCTTCGACTTCTCCTTATCCGTCGCGACAACTCGGGCCTCAGCGGCGCTCAGCCTGTGCTATATGCTCTTAAATCATGTTGTATCGACTGAACTCTTCCAATTCGCTGCATTCTTCACCATTACTCTGGCCGATGTTGGCTCCGATGTCTTCGTTAACGAACCTCCCAACGCTGGCAACAGGATAAACTTTGCTCAACTCACGGTCATCTGTGTGCTGTGGATTATGACGTACGGTACGTGCCAGATCGTCGAAACGCCAAACCCATTCATGAAAACAAGCAGGCCGGAGCACTACGTGCTGTGCTGAAAACCCATTCAACTCATCTAGCCTTGCCTTCACCATCATCTTCTCCCTCCCAGGTAACAGTTTGCGCATTGCTGCCGCAATAGCCATATACACATCCTACCTCCTCATCACGGTGGGCCCCCTCGTTGCCGACGCCCTTGTCCCGCACGACCAGCCTCCATACGATGCGGAGAGTCGTAAGGGGATTCTTTGATTGTACGGGGTCCGCACAGACCCCCCTGAATTCCGCCACACCTGTGACGGGCTGAGCCTCGGCAACCCTCGTCCAACGCTAATGCTCGTTGAGAACCCCCCTTTATGGGAGCCTACCCCCTTTTTCGTGGCCTCTGAGCAACGGCCCCATCACGGTTGGCCCTTTTACCTATCGTCCCTACCTAGAGAATGAGAATCCATTACCGCTTTTTGGCTACTTCTTTGCAATAGCAGGTATAAAAGTTCACTCCTCTCTACCACCACTACCTCGGCAGTTACCACACAACTAAGCAGGATTTGAAGCTATTCAGAAGCCATTCCACGCGGAGATAACTATCGTCGACAAGTCGCTGCGAGCCGCCGACGTGATCCCTCTCAGTGAGAGCTTGTGGACCTGGCGGAGACCGAGGGACGCCTTCATCAAGAACAGGATATCGAAGTGTCGACGTTGACGCCGGCAAGAGGACGTGGACGGGCTTCGCGGGTCCAGGGCACTACACGAAGACAGGTAAGTGGTCAGGGACAGGGAAGAGGTCGTGGACAGGGACGAGGCCAGCAAAATAGAGTAGAGGAAACCCAAGGAGGTACAGGTCCTGCCATTAGCGCAGCCATACAGCTCGGGACGCCAGCGCCGGACCCCCCCTAGGCTAGTTGACAGATAGGAATGGATGCCTGATTTCCCTGCGATAGATCCCCAAGGCCACAATCCCCATTATCCTCAAGTTGCTCAGACCGATCTTTTTGCTCTGGAGCTTGTTTCCTCTTCTTTTTCTATTTTTTTCTTTTTCCGAGGCTCAGCCCGTCACAGCTGTGGCGAATTCAGGGGGTCTGTGCGGACCCCGTACAGTTAAAGGTACCCAGTCGTAAGTGGTTCGTTGCCTTTTACGAGTTCGCAAACGCCTTGATCTTGATCCCGGTCAAAACCGTCTTGGCTGCTGCAGCGCTGGGAGCGCAGGCAGCTGCTTTACAAGGACTCGGGTTTTGAGCGCTAAGTCTGAACTGCCCAGCTGCGCAGGCCGTTGTCTTTGCACTCCTTGCCTGGTCCTGGCTGTGGCGCTTGCGATCGCCGGGTCCTGGTCATATGATGGTATCGTGGTATTATTGTGTGAGCTTTGTCTCGGTGGATTATATGGTGTTCGCTATCGTGCAGGGTGCCCTGCTCTGGATTTCACGACGCCGTCGCCGACAGGATGGGGCGGTAGCCAGCGAGAGGGAGCCATTGAGTTCGACATGAGAGAGTCATAAAATTACTCAATAAGCGTGAACTCGAACCATTCCGACGCTGGCACCACCAACTTTGGCCGTCCTCCAATATCCTTCGGTTCTGTCACATATCCTTTGACGAAACAAGGCAGTTTCACCACTGTCTCTCTGTGCTCCTCCATTGTGCCCCAATCCCACCAGTCTAAAACTCCCGACCTCTTCACCCGGCCACGAAATTGATCGCCAGGCATTGAGTCTCGGGGTAAAGAAACATCTGGCCAGTCGTTTAGCCACTCCGTCTCTGTCCATGATTCGCCTGGACGCAAACTCGTAAAGTCCTCGTCCTGCTGCCCGATGGAAACCTCCAGGTCGGGTTCGTCATAGGCACGCCCCGGCCCAGGCCCGCAGCATGAGAAGTCTTCGAGAACCTGGCAGTCCTCCCAATCGCTCCCTGCCCCCCGACGTCTCTGCACTTGGAAAGTGAAGTCTCGTGACGAAGTAAGTGCCCAAGAGTGGAACGTTACCGGGGGTGCTGTAGACACCTCTAGGCTGCCGTTCGTCCCGGTGACACCGTGATACGTGAACACGAGGGTCACGGTGATGCGATCGTAGCATTTGACAGATGTCGAGCCCTTGACCGTGACCGTGAAGTACGGTGCACCAGGACTATTGGAGTTAAAACTAGTTAGTAGAGACAGCTTTTTCAACAGCCAGCAAAAGTGAAATAAGTAACAAGGAAGAAATATTGGGCAGGTTTTACTCACATTCTCTCTGATGGCTCCGCCAGGGTAGCTGGCTGAAACCACGGCCAATCTGCAGTGCGATACTCGCTAAAGTAGTTGGCCTTGAGATTGAGCCGCGCACCGCCAGGCACCACCATTTGCCCAGCATTTTCCCCCTTCAAAGCCCGTCGAACAACACCACCCTGTATCGTCCCCCAGCCCCAGGGCACCGAGTCGTCGCCGGGAAAAAGCAGCGTAAACACATGCAAATCCCTCCCCATAGCGCGGTAGAACTGTTCGGGCAGCGTCGCGGTGAGGCTGACCTCGTCCCCTGGGGAGGCGAGCTCGAATATGAACTGACTATTGTCTTCAAACTCTTGACCTGCAGGGGTGCCAACTGCGCTTTGGTTATGGTCAACTGGGACTAGTTGCAAGCCGCCGCGACCGCGGTTCCAAGTATGTCGCAGCAGGACGAGGCCATGGGGAGAGAAGGCGTCGAGGGAAGGGTCGAAACGGAAGAAGCACGGCCGGGAATCCGTGGCGTCGTTCTTGGCCAGGCGCAGGATGATGAAACGGATTGGGTATGGAAGAGGAGTAAGCGAGAGTTCGATGGGGCCGTGCAGGCTGATTGATAGATGGGGAGTCTCGGGTCTAGCAGAAGAGGATATGTGTAAGCCTCCTTTCTGTCTATCGTAGTGTGTTAGTGAATGGGTATGGGATTCCTACTGCAGATCGTTCTCCCCATACTTTACGAAGGATGTGAAATCCATGTCTCTTAAACAAGCCTTCATCGAAATAAATATTGCTGGGAAGAATGCGGTCGTCGTATAGAACTTCTCGAGCTAAATGCGGCTCACCTAGGTGGGAATGTTGATGGTGCAAGCAGGCCTGCAATATAGGTAATTAGACACCGCCCTTGCGGTGTAAGAATTACGTTAATAATAGTAATTATAACTAAACAGTCATCTTCTCTGGTCTCCTCAATGGGAGCTTGTTTTGTTTGAGTTTCCATGTTTGCAGTTGAGAGAGGTCGTACTTGAATTTCGGCGTGACTCACGATGGTGCAGGCCGAGCCGGATCGGGTTATGCCACTGACATGCATAATTGATCTCGCTCTCAATCATGGTTCGCCCCCTGCCAGTGTCGCTCTGCTCTGCACACACCTTAATCGATCATCTCTCTTCAAGCAGCCAAGAACGACTCTTCCAATCATGTTCCTCTCAGCCTGCCAGTTCCCTTAGTCCACAGCTATGGCTGGCTTGTAATACTATGAGCCTGTTCGCCTAACTAGGTGCCCAGTCAGACGCAGGTGAGTCATGAATGAGGTGAAGTAAGGTGATGCTGTAGGGGTGGGTGCTTTTATGGCGGGGAGTGTTCCTTTGTGTTGAGGGAGGTAGAAGGGGAAAGTTGGAGGATTCTGAGGGATTGCTATTTCCATGGCCTTGGAAGAGGCGGATGTATTGGGGAGGAACATGCAGATACCCAAGGAGAGGGACTCGGGAGTTTGTGATCCTTTGAGTTACAGTCTTCATAATACGAAAACGAGTACAAAGACAGATCTGAGTCGCGATTGACGCCTGTCCTAAGTTCTCCGTCTATAACCGGCAGCTTAAAATTTCCTCACAAGTTACACAAGAATGGACTTCAGCTTCTCCACGGTATCCAACACGGTCTGGCGCCAGGGGATGTAGTCCTGCCCCGTTACCCTGACCGCTTTGGTTCCGTCAAACGCACTGAACCGATAGTCGGGGCTGTAACCCTCCCCCGGTGTGCCTTTCTGGATGATGTCCGCCTTCTCTGGGTACTTCTCACGGAGAATATCTGCCACAGCTTGAGGCGGCGAGTAAAACGATGCGGCGATGAAGCGCTCGTTGTTCACCCTGTCAGGATGCTCGGCCCCAAAGACGATGAGGCGGGCTACATCGCGAATGTCAACAAACGCGTACACGCCCGGCGTGCCAGCCTGGTCGAGTGGCGTTCCGCTGAAGACATCCGTGATTAGCCGGGTAGAGAAAGAAATCTTGTCTTTGGAAGCCGGGGTTACCAGGGGCGGACCAGCCACGAAGCTGGCTCGTATTAGCTAACTTGAAGTTTGTCACAGCGAACGATGAGTGAAAGCTTGACTCACCAGGGGTTGATGGCCGAGATGGCGAAGCACGGCTTGTGTTCATCCCGGAACTTCCACAGGGCCTTTTCGGCGGCCACCTTGCTTGCCGAGTAGATGATGCGGCCAGGGGTGGCCTTGCCCTGTTCGGCTACGGCATCCTCGGCATACGTATTCCAATCGGATTCGGTATAAGTGTAGCCCTCTTTGGCCTGCTGCATGACCGACAAGATAGACGACATGAAGACGAAGCTCTTAATTTTGGCCTCCTTGTGGGCCGACTCGAGTGCCCGTACGGTGCCCTTGATGGCAGCCTTCAAGACGGGTTCCGGATCACTGAAATCGAAGGACACGGGTGATGCAAGATGGGCCACCACATCGACTCCTAAATTGCCGGTCAGTGTTGGGAACTCCAACGATCAAGACATGACGATACCCTTTACAGCCTCGTCGAAAGCCCCTGAAACTGTGATGTCGGGCACCTCGACAAACTCGACTTTGTCTGCGTATTCGGAGAGGGCTTCCATCACCTCGTTGGCGGAAGAAAGGGACCGGACAGTTCCCCTAACCGAAAAACCGGCTTTGAGAAACGCCTCGACCGTGCGGGCAGCGATGTAGCCGTTGGCGCCGGTGACGAGGACGAGTCCTTTGGTTGCCATGTCGGGAAGATGCACGACTGTTGTAAATGACGGGTAACGGTATCAGCTGATAAAAGGCGGATAAACACTGAAGACTCTCTGGGGGTGTTGGGATTGTGCAGTGGGTAGATAACATAGCGGGAGTTGCAAATCGGAGAGGAAGGCCAATTTATAGCTGGAAGGGTATCGGTGTCTCTCCTTGGCAGTGCATTCCTGCCTTGTGCCTGGTGATGGTTCGAGTTCTTTCTTCTTTCAGGCTCCACGGTATCCGTAATAACCATTCCATAGTGCTTTTCGGGCACGATGCCAAAAAGCTATGCTGATAAAATCAGGTTGTACACCAACGCCGGCTGCTCCGAACATCGACGGTTTGATCACTGATCACCGAAGGTGGTGGATAATTAGATTACTGATCATCAGAAAATCGCAGCCAGCATTATCCTTACATCATATGACTCGGGACATTTACGCATTAACAACATCAAGGCACACTGGCAAATTCGCTCAGAACGCAGTTTTAGCTGAATTGTGCCGGCTCTTCGCCGGCCCGCCTTCCGTGCCAAGCCCGTTCTCTGTACCGGGCCCACTCTTTTGCAAGCCGGGCAAGCCCCACTATTTGCCAACCCAACTCGGAATCTAGCTCATCTAGGCACCCTGCTCACCGTTGCTTGCTAAGTATTGCGATATTCTCTAGGGTCACCGTCACCATGCTAGATAGTCATTTCCAGATCAAGCAGCGCTGAGAATTTTGCCGGGCTTCATTCACACTGTACAACACAATTACCTCTTAGCCTCTAGATTTGGTGCCGAGTCGAAAGCCCGCTGCCATGCGCTGGATAATGCATATGATAAGCGAGTGAGCAACTTCAAATCCACACATAACCCTGAGAATCCAAAGGTTAGTAAAATCACCACACCTTAGTGAAACTCTTTCCAATTTTGAGGATCGCCATTTTCAGGTAGGAGGATGTCATAATAGAAGCAACAGGAAATTTGCCAACTGAGCTAGGTATTGTTAGAACCTGTCTGAGATTAAAAACGACATGGCTTGTCACGAGCAGAGGGCCATTGGCCGAGGCAAGGCTGCGGGAAAACTCTCTATTGTGAAAAATTACAAGATGGCGAAAAAAGGAAGAGAAGCTGGAAGAGCTCTCGTGATGCAGGAGATAAATGCCAGAGCCAGTCGGGCACGCGTGAGCAAAGCAAACGCACACCTCGACGGCAGGTGCCGTCATAAGGCTTTAGCGTTCAACCTCCTCATTGGATCTAGTAGGTAAAGTTATCTACAATACTTAGGAACTATATAGTTAAGCTAATTGCAGAGTTAGAGATAGTTTAATTGAAGTCTGGTGGTTCTAACGAGCTTGTGTTTTCAGGGTTATGTATGGATTTGAAGTTGCTCACTCGCTTAACTATGCTGCTCACTCGCTAATCATATACGTTAGTTACCTTGGGTGAGAATACAAAGGTTGTATTTAGTAAGTACTTATACAGTACCTAAGCTAGCGTAGCCAAAGTTCCGGCTTCTCTGTCATCTTCTACTTTGCATTATCTTCATCATGACATCAGCATCCCCGAGTTGCCCTGATTACAGCTTAGGAATACCATTCTAGTGACCTCACCAAAGTGCACCTACACCCCGAAAAGACGTAATAAAATCCGGATGAAGGTAACCATTGCAGTGCGAGGCAAGAACTGGAGATTGAGTCCAGTCTTCAGGTGTCATGTAAGAGGAAAGAAGCGGGGAATTCTCCCTCGATCTCATTCCAGTAAGCGTCACGCTTACTACCCTCCCATTGCACTATTTTTCAACGCTATTACATCAACTGTCTTGAGACAATTGCCGGCCTCCTCGTCTCAGGCACGACCATCTTTGCTCCGACAACGTTAGGCTTATTAAATCAACGGACAGAAGATCTCGCCATGTGCCTGCTCGGACAAGTCTGGTACTGCTGCCACAACATGGCCACTGGGCACGGGTACGCCGCGGTGGCTCCCGTCGGCCAGCGCCCCGGATAATGCGGCGGGTGGCCAAACTGCCGAGAGGTGTATGGGCTCGTGCCCATCGTCCTCGCGGAACCTTGTTGGGGCTGCCGGTCAAGGCTTCCCATCCCGTTCCAAGGTCAAAGCTCCGAAAAGGGCTCGAGCAGGAGCCTCCCAGCCTCCGAACAACCGCCCGCTTCGGTCGGGGTGGGGTCACTCGGTTTCTGATCGGAGAGCTCCTTTTGATTAACAGGGCTGTGCTAATCACTGAGATTGTTTTTGGAGCGGCAGAGTACGCATGGCTGTCACGTCCTATGACAGATCACTGAGAGATGGGACATCAGAAAGGAATAGGCAAACAAAGGACGGATTAAGAGGGGCAGATGACTTGCCAATGGACAAGGTGAAAAAGAAAGTAAATGGGGGCCTATGAGCTTGCAGGGTCTCAAATGACGAAATGCCAGAACCTAGAATAATTCGACAAATGAAATGCGCGACTGGGACAGAGGTATTTGTTGTATTCGGCCTCGTTTGGCTTTCTCTACGTGTTGTATAACTGGAAGTGGTTCATGTTGTCTCTGATAATTGGTGAACGGTCAGAGACATCAGCAAGCTCATAGGAAACCTCAAAACCTTCACAATCAGGGGCAGATAGTACCATCCTCCTTGGTTTGAGCGCGCGTTGTGGTATTTGTAACTAACTGGATAGGCCGCGAGGCTGACATCTAGGAAATATAATCACGAGTGGAAACAAACGAGCGAATAGCTGGCCAACGGGTAAGGAAACTACAGGAAAGAAAAGAAATGATCAACCCCATGTCTCACGAAGCCTGTTTGCTCTGTTGGTCCGTCTGCTATGTTCTTCCACCCGTGTAAGCGGAAGATACCTGGCCATATGATTGATGGAAACCGACGGCCGGCCCCATCTGCTGATCCGTCAACCTCCAGTATAGGACTCGGATACGGATCGGACTGCAGTATGGCAGATATCAGGTGTCGGGGTACACGTGCATGCTCCGGTCTCAGGGGTGAAGGAAGCCGCCCTTTTCCATGTCGCAAACCAATGCATTCAGTCCCAGAATTACCAGACAAAAGGCCAGTGAGTTCTAGTATCAATAACTCAATGAAGACTGCGAAGATGGCATACTGAAATATGAGACTGCAATGCTTACAGGTATGCCCGTAAGTTTTCTCGGTCAGCCCTCTGTGTGGTGCTCAATGGCGCCCATTATCCAGGAGATTCAGGAGGCAACTTCAACGACAGAGTCGAGAGTGATAACCTGTGACTGAGCAGACGGACAGTACATTGCCCAAAGCTACATCAAGTCTGGTGAGCGGTCGGTTCTGGATCGCGTGTCCAAAGGCAGAGAGGAGAGTTAGGGTCTCGACCCCCACGACCAACCCCTCAGCTTACAGTGTCACTCACTCACATTTGTCGGAACGAAGCCGCCTTGATGGCTGCATTCAACGGACCTCGGTGGTTGATTGGTGCCAGCACTGCAACCCCTCTTCCTTACCTACAGTACTTAGTCCTCTCCCATGCCCATCAACAGCATGGTCAATCAAGCACTTCACCACCTTTCAATTCAATTCACTGCTTTAACTGGGAACAGCTTTTTCCAGCGCATATCTCAGCGGTCATCGCCCTGCAGGTTCCAACAACATTTCCATAAGAAACAGTCGGTGAGCGAAGCTGTACCCAACGACAACGGGCTTGGCGTCAGCACATGTAATATTTTCCGGTCTCCTCGTCTCTCGGTCACACAGGCCTATGTAACTTACACCAGCTTTACGAAACCCAGCAGACGCCGTGAGAGCCGAGCATGATTCTTCAAGAAAAACCTATGAGTGACACAAACGATCATCAATAATGTCATCTCACTAAGACCAGATGTTCACCTTCGGATTCGTGTCTTAGCGTCTAGCAGACGCCACCCACATCCCTTATCAAGGGTCAAAGGGTATCGCAACGAACCATGCCAGTGATTTGCTTAGTACACATATCGGAATGTGATAGCTCTATCACCCTTCGCCGAGAGCTCCTCCACCGTATAAGAATCCAGCACACCATCCTGGATTTTCCTAGCTCGCTTCTTGTTCTGCGCACTATACCCAATCAGCAGGATTAGCGAGGCAATAATGCCAGCGCCGATGAAGCCGAGCTCAAGGCCGTGTCCGAGCTTGTACTGAGGCGCGTCTTTCGCTCGATAAAAGTTGGATGCCATGGCCCTGTCAAGCGTCAGCAGGTAAACTTCCCAATCCCCAACGCACGCAGTAAAAAAGGGTGTGGTTTCTTACCCGCCCAAATTACCCACGCCGATCTGAATCGCCATGCCCACTGATCTCTTCAGACTTCCGGATAGATTGTTCGACAACCACGCAATAACGCCCGGAAAGGCCGGATAGATGGCGCAGGCGGCCACAAACACGCCGGCGTAGACGACCCGCGGGTTCTCCTTGGGGTCGGTGGCGATGCACATGGAGAAGCCGATGACCATGACGAGCAGAAAGCCGATGATGAACGGGCTGCGCTTGCCCACCCTGTCCGAAAAGTAGGCGGCGATGACAGCAAGGATAGCCGCCGTGATGTAGACGGGCACCGTCATGAGCTGGGCCTGGCTGCTCTGGTAGCCGAGCTGGCGGATGATGGTGGGCAGGAAGAGTGAGATACCGTACAAAGGGCAGACAATACCCCAGTAGACAAAAACGTTGACCCAGATCTGCCAGTCAAGGAAGGCATCTCTGGCGTACTTCCACCTGAACTCGTCGGCCTGGGCGACTTGTGCGCGATTGGGATCCTCGCTTTGGCCCTGGTACTTGAGGCGGTAGACCACGAAAGCCCTCTCTTCTTCCGTCAGGAATTTGGCCGTCTCGGGGAAGTCGTGCAGGGCGAAGAAGGCAATACAGGCCACAACAACCGTGGCGATCCCTTTACAATTATTGTCAGCATCATCCAGCCGAGTCTTCCGTGGAATTCCTCCGTGGAATGCTTGGAACGTACCCTCAAGAATGAAGATCCACTGCCACCCATGCAACCCGGCAATGCCATCCATCTTACCAATCCCAAACGCCAACAACCCACTAAACGCTCCCGCCACACTCGCAGCGCTGAAGAACATGGCCTGCCGCAGCTGAATCTCATCCCTCCTATACCAGTTCGTCAGGTAGTACGCGACTCCAGGGAACAAGCCCGCCTCAGTCACGCCCAGAAAGATGCGCGCCGACAGCAGGCCGGCATAGTTGTGCACAATGCCCATGAGCGTCATCACGACACCCCAAGCCACCATGATCGCGGGCAACCAGATCGACGGCCGGACCCGTTTGAGCATGAGGTTGCTCGGCACCTCGAAGGCGGCGTAGGTGAAGAAGAAGGCCGTCAGGCACCAGTTGTACTGGTCGTCCGTCATGCCGAGGTCTTCCTGGAGGCCTTCAATCTTGGCGTTGCCGATGTTGCCGCCTGTTTCAGTCACATACATGTTGTTCATTAGTCGAGTTGGGGGAACAAATGCCGGATGGGCAGGGTGGGAAAGGGGGTCGCCGTACGGTCGAGGAACGAGAGGAGGTAGAGGAGAGCTAGGACGGGGATTAGACGGAGGTCCATCTGGGCGAGATCAGTATTCGCGGTAAGCACGGGGAGGGTAGGTATGAACAGACCTTTCTGAGGATTGCCTTCTCATCGAGATGAGCGAAGGACTGTAGAGTCACTGGCGCCGGTCCGGCGGGCCTGTCGACTGTTTCGACATGGGCTTGTTCTTCGGACTGCGATCCCGTGCTTTCGACCTTATCTGTGTAACCCGCCATCTGCACATGTGCCGGGTGAGGGTTTACTGATGCTATCACGGGCAACAGGAACCAGAGGGCTGAAAGATGCGTGGGAATTGACGTTTCAGGGAGCAACCCTTGGCGCTCGGCGGCGTATCCATGGCCGTTCTTATACCCTTGTATTCCCACATGACGCCCGGGGACTCGTGCCAGGGGAGAAATGAGTAGCGAGTCAACTCCATGTCAACCACCACCCCAGCCATGACTCCTCCCATCCACGATGCTAGCCTATCTCTTTCATGATCCCACCGACTGAACTGGGACAGTGAACTCTTCCCCCGCATTCAAGGGGGTGCAACGTGCAGCTCAAGTCCACTTCCCCACATAACCGCCCCCAAACTGAGTTGCCTAGATTGGCCAAGATCGCCACCTTATGCGTGCTTTTGGCGGGAACCTGGACAGTTTGCTGCGATCCGGACCCGCCGGACCGAGAGACTTTGCCGTCGAGAGGGCCGATGAACTCGGTGTCGTAAGTGGCTGCGGAGGTGTCAACAGTCGCGGTGTGTCGTCTTACAGCAGACGCATCAGCCAAGCGGTTTAGCGCCGGACTTAATGTCCCGACCGAACTGTCGAAACCTGCCTTTGATCTTCTTGGAGAGAGGAGAGATGATGTATTTTGGAGAGCTTCACCTTGCGGTGCAAAAAGGAACTTTTCAGGCTTCAAACAGCGCTGCAGCCGATTGTCAGTGAAAATTCTCCCAGCTAATAACTGTCACAGCCATGTCAGCCAACTCCATCAATCAACCCCTCCAAGATCTCCCTTTCCCCCTCTTGCTCCATTGATGGCCCTCCGCAGCCACCCTGTTCTTCTCCTCGAACAGCTTCTTGGTCAGCTGCTTGTACACAAACGCATTCTGCCCATTGTACCGAATGCTGTGGTCCGAGTCCGTGAAGAACGTCACCTCCAACTTCTCCGGCCCAACTCTGCCGCCCATCAACAAATCTCCGAAAGCCGCAGCATTCTGGAAGTGGACGTTGTCATCTGCGGCCGCGCAAAATGCGTCAGTACATCTTGCCAGCAGGACGGTGACCATGGAAGTCGGAATCTGCAAAAGACGACGTAAACAACTCACCTCCGGTGCCGTGCTGAACCAAGAAACCGCCCCTCAACCCCTTAAACCCATCCACCCCCCTCACCGCCGACTTATTGTATCCCTCTCCATTCAACTCGGGTGTCTTCATGTACCTCTCCGTATACATGCTATCATAAAGCCTCCAATCCGCCACCGGCGCCGTCGCCAGCCCAAACGCAATCGCCTCATCCCCAACCTCAACGACCTTAGCCGTCAAATACCCACCATAACTCCACCCCCAAATCCCGATCCTCTCCCGATCTACCCACGAACTCTGCTCTGCAAGCCACTTCGCAGCCCATATCTGGTCCTGCGCCTCCAACTCCCCCAAACGGCCCGCCACCGCCGACCGGAACGCCCGCCCGCGGTAGCCCGTCCCACGGTTGTCGACCGTCAGCGTGATGTATTCGAGTTCCGGGTCCGACGCGATGTACGCGTTCCAGTTGAGTGGCTTGAAGGCCTTGTTAACTTCCTGCGCGCCGGGGCCGCCATAGGGGGTGAGCAAGACCGGATATCTCTTGAAAGGGTCGAAGGACGCTGGGAGGCGGAGCATGGCGCTCAGGTTGAAGCCGGATGGGTGGGGGATATCGAGGTAGGTGATGTTGGGGAGGTGGTAGGATTGGAGGGCGGCGTGGAGTTTGGCGTTGGCGTTAATGGTGCGGAGCGGAGTGGTTGTGTTGGTGATGGAGTAGAGTTCTTGATAGGGTACGTCCGGGCCGGCGTAGCGTAGGATGAAGTACCCGCCTTGGGAGGAGAAGGAGGCGGACCAGACGGCGGGGATGGAGGGGTCGACGAGGGGTGTCTTTTTGCCGGTGATGAAGGAGACGGAATACACATGACGCTCGGTGGGATGGGACTCGGTAGAGGTGTAGTAGACCAGGCCACGAGCTGTGTCAACCTTGAGGATGGAGGCGACCTCCCAAGAGCCCGAGGTGAGGGTGATATTGGAGCGGCCGTCGAGGGTGAAGAGGTAGAGGTGGTTCCAGCCAGAGGCGTCTGACAGGTCAAGATAGTACTTGTCATGGTTCTTGCTGCGCTCCTCTCGGTCGGATTTCCGTTTGACTTGGCCAATGTAAGTAATTGCCTGGTTGTTGTCCAGCCATCCGTCGGAGCCGTCGCGCTCTCGCGTGACGGTCGATGTCTTGGTCTTAGTGTCAACGAGCATCAGCTTCTCATGATCCTGCACTCGATTGAAAGTCCTGTAGATGAGCTTGTCGTGGCCGTCCGTTACCCAGGCGACTTCACCGACGATCAGCTCGTCTGCAGGCCAGGCATCGATGGGCACCGGGGCGAGGGATTTCGACTTGACATCGAAAAGATTGAGAGCCACGGTGGGGTTCTTTGTTCCAACCTTTGGATAACGCAGCTTGAGCTCGCGCGGGTAGGACGGGGGCACGTTCTGGTTGTCCATGAAGTAGGGAATGGTGAAGGTCTGGACACCCGTCTCGTTGAAGCTCAGGAAGGCAATGTATTGTCCATCGGGCGAGTACCACAGGGCATGGTTGGTACCGAAAATCTCCTCCTCGTAGACCCAATCGGGAACTGCGTTGAACATATCTGGCCCGCCGTTGTTGGTGATCTGGCTCGTTTTGCCCTGGTCCCAGATGAAGAGATTGTTCCCCTGAACAAAGGCAATCTGCGATGACGATGCAGGGTTCCAGGTGGCGTACTGGATGTCACCCTTGAAGTCCCCCACGAGGGGTTCGGTTTGCCCAGTTGCAACGTCCTGCACTAGGTAGGCTGCGAAGTACGAATGCCGATATTGCTTGGTGTAGTTGACGGCCCAGAGCACCTTGGAGCGGTCCGGCGAGATTTGGTAGTCATGGTAGTCGGCAGGAATCTTGTCGGCCGACAAGAAAGTCGTCTTGTTCCCGGTGACAACGTTCTCAAAAACAAAGGAGCCGTCCTCCCCTTGGGTGATGAAGTCACCGTCCTGGTCGGACTTGACCCACGTCACGGAAGTGGTGGACGCCGACAGTTCGCCGGGGCTGGCTGTGGTGATGTTGTATGTCAGCAACTTGGTTCCATTGCCCGTTGGCTGATGCGGGAATCGGGGAGGGTCAATGGCAGCAGCCAGCGCCGCGGCAACGCAGAGTGAAAGAAGACGTCGCATCGTGCCTGTCCTGGCTGTCCACGCTCGTGACCTGAGGTGGTGAGGGGAACGTGGATTCTTTGAGACACTCACCGTGGTGACACGACCGAGCTCTTTAATTTGCGTGTTGGAACGCCTGGTCTCCTGCCCGGATTGGAAAGCCGGCATTTTGTCCGCGCGTGGCAGGTACAAGAGATAGAGTACAGCCGAAAGCGGAAGGTGACCGTTGGCTGTTGGATTGTGCCAAGATGGTGATCTCTGGGCGTCATCACGACAATGGTCGACAACATTAGACCATTACTGTCCATGTTCGAAGTAAGCGGCTCAGCTCGTGTGTGCGTATTTTCGGAAGCAGGCTGCATACATAAAGCATCCTGTTCTTGACGTTGATGCAGAGACTCGACAGAGTCCTCTTGACCGGGATGCATGCAACAGGTCGTAGTCCTCCTGAGATTGAGGGACGAAGATAGCTACGCATCAGTACCTTCCAAAATCTTACTTCCTCCAGGACCAACAGTCAGCCTACCGCGCCATTCCGCAAAGCCTCTTCGTCAAAGGCGCGGGACCGCCAGAACCAGCTGACCCAGGAAGAGTGCCAACTCCTCCGTAGCCGCGGCGTGCCGGGCAAGGCGCTTGTCTATCCTGCTTCGACCTCACCGCCGAGTAGGTGGACCAGGTCCTGCGATGGCCACTGCCGGCCGTCGTGCGCCCCAACATTCAACGTGCGACTGGCGGTGCCTCAGCACGCGTACCGAGCTCTATGCCAAGTCCAAGGTTCCCTAGAAAGCAGCCTGTTCGACACTGCAATGAGTGACGACAAGGTTTTGTTGATTGCCCGCAACATCCACAATGTAAACGATCCGACCGTTCTGGCATCAGCGAACTTGGCGGCCTTCCGGGACCCAGGGTTTGGGCAGGCATTTGAGCTATTCATCGAGCCGACTTGGACTCGACATCGGTGAAGCTGCTGGGCTGCACCGTGTACACGCCATGCGGCGTCGCATGCCAGCCGTCTCTGGCGCCAATCCTACTTCTACCACAATGCCTTCTCTTTCACCGCCAGAACCGCCAGCCGGCACAACCCCGTCACTACAGTGTAAGCTCGGCCGGAGGCAAATGATCATCGAGGCCATGGCCTCCATTCGACAGCAGTTCCAACTACGCAACGCAACCGAGCAAAGCTTTTACCGCCCGCACAAGGTTTCAACGCCGCCTAGGGAGCCTTCTGCCCTCCAACGAGCCCAACTCCTCCAACGTACATGCCGTCCAACACAACGTTGCCCCGCCATGGCAGCCTCCCACGCAAGCTGACCGGTTCGGATCCGGCCCCTGGCCGGGCCTCACCCCTCGTTCCGGCGACTTGTACGAGTTTCAGCAGAGCATGAGCATGTCTGGCTTCAATCTCCAGCTAGCCTGGTCTTCCCTGCCCGAATACAGAAAGGAAGAGTTCCGCGCCCTGTCCGAGGCGCGCCCTCGGGTGGCCTGGGCCGATTTCGACGCGGTTTTCGCCCATAGAATGTCCTCGCCTTCCGCCTCGCAGCCTAATACAGAGGAGGGCGCTGCTGGGAGCAACAGGACCGGGAAGTTGGACCCCTCCTGAGCTGGTTGGGAAGAGTTTCCGAGTATGATCCCCGGACACATACCCCGTTGGTTCCTGTTTCGGGGTTCGAGCTGTTTCGCGACGAGCTGGGGCGGGGCTGGAGTTCTGGGAGGTGTTGAGACAATGAAGGCCTTGACAAACGAGACGCGGGCGCTGTATGACGCGAGGGCGCGGGAGGCTAATACCGCTGCTGCGCGGAATGTCCCTCAGGCTGCGAAGAAACAGCATTTCATCATCAAGTTAACCCCGCATCTCCCCTACCTCAAGGGCACCGTTGACTGGATCTGAAAATGACAGCCACCGACTCAGTTGAGATTCCCCTGAATCTGATCACCTAGGTAACTCCCTGGATGTAAGTATGCACATGAACACGCTGCTCCAGGGCATCACCAGCAGAGATCAAACCCAATGCTAATGCTCGCTGCCGACGTCATCCGCGAGGAACGTGCGGAGGGGTCGAGCGTATTTGGATCACACTGGTGTGATTCCTAGCGACAGGTCCGTGTTTGCGGTCTAGAGGAATCCTGGCAGAGTCCCCCTGCAGCGCGCAGTGCGGCACTGGTCGCAGGAGGACATTGCCTTATGCCCGCACTAGGTTCATGTTGGATCTCCTGACGACAGCGTTCCAGGGTCGAAATCGAGGCAGGGACCACAGACTGTTAGGGACGAAAGGGCGGCGCAGGGGAAAGGCATGCCCAGGCAGCCCAGCACCAATTGCCTTGTCTGTCACAACCACCAACGTGCATGATGCATGATTGCCTGCCACCCCGTTAACCGCCCAACACGAGGACGTCGCCATTGTATGAGAGCTGAAAAGGCGGTGTTCCCCTCGACGTTGTCTCCCGGTCACTCACATTTTTACATCAGCACGTCCACATCTCAACTCTCGGGACGCCTACGGGAAGATGAAAAGAAAGGATCTCGAGACGAACCGCATCTTCGTCATTGAAGAGCCAGCCCGCGAAGGATTCCTGCCGCGACACATTGAAAGGCTGCGCAAGATTCTCCTGGATTTTGCGCATAAAAGTTCTGTGTCTGCTCAGAAGAGTCCAGAACTGGTAGCTATGGGGACAAGAAACCGCCCCCTTTGAACAACAACGAAGACAAGAACCTGTCGTTGTTGTGGGGAGGCCGAAAACGTGAATCTAGACCTGGTAGTTCACTTTCGTTTTGGGTCGACATTGCTGACTCAGCAGAGTTTGGCCACGTGAAGTAGACGTTTCATGAGGATTAAAACGGTAGTGAACGCGTACGCGCTCAGTTTTCCATATTTCGTTGCCCAGTTCCGTTTCTCATCTATACTGGGGTGTGATCCTAACATCGCCTTGTGATCAAACATTCCCCCAACGCGTTTGCAAATCTTTTCCTTAGCCAACCAAACGCGTTTACGGCCCTGCTTTGTACGTATTGGCAAATTGCAAGGCGCAGCAGCTGAGTTGCCAAAATCCACAGTCAAACCGGAAACGGATGCTGACCCCACGGACCTGATCGGCTCCGTCGCGGCGGAAGTGCTGACCGCCTTCGACCAGCCTAACCCGATGGCCGCAATTGCTGACGATCTGCCGGCCTTGGCAGCCCAGGACGGCGAGCCCTTCCCTCGACGCGACTGTCGTCGCCGACCGCTGCGCGCAGGCGCAGGGCTGGACGGTACTCGGCGCTCCAGCACGTCGATCCGGTCTTCGCGATCCCAGCTGCGTCGGCTGCCTGCTTTCTCGCCGCAGTTACCCTGCCGACCACCGGTGACGACTTGACCCGCACGAACTTCAACCAGTTCACGTGTACCGCTACCGGCGCGCCACCGTCATCCGTGCCATCGCAGCGGGCGATCGCCGACGGCCGGATTTACTCCCCACGGTGTGTGGCGTGATTCCCCTTAAAGGCTTACCTTTTGGGAGAAGAGGGGTCAAGAAACAGGCTTCTGGACCCAAAAACGGGCGCCTCTTTTCCTCTGTTAGGGCTGTCCGTTTTCTAAGAAAACGGAGAGGCTGGCTGCGCCGCAGAACCCGTTCAGACAATGGAAAAGGGACAGCTAGCCTCCCGGGAAGGGCCAAGCGAGCGCCCGGAGCGGCTGTGCGCCCACACGTCCAGGAGACCTGCCGTGGCTCAAACACACAGCAATCGGCGTCAGGCATCAGTGTTAGGCATCTTATTGCTGCCCGACGACCTGAGAACTTACAGAACACTAGCGATAATGCCTCAATAAACCTGGAAATCTTAGCATTCTCTAATAATTTATTCTTTTACTTTTGGAACTGAACGTTGCGACGCCATCATGCCTTCCTACCACCACTCTCCTCTGCCCGAAGGCAGCGTACGCTTGCTCCGGCTTCTGCCGCATCGAGACGAGCAATCCCGTATCGAATGCAACCTCTCTGTCTGTCACCTATTGGACTCGGGAACCGCACATCCCTTTGAAGCCTTATCCTATGAATGGGGTTCTGGGGGCCGCCCTAAGTCTATCTTGATCAACGACCGTGAATACGTTGTTGGGCCGAACCTGCATGCAGCACTGTTGCATCTTCGGGATCGTTTTGTGGATCGGATCGTGTGGGTAGATGCTATCTGCATCGACCAAAAAAACACGGCCGAAAAGAGCCAGCAGGTTCAGTCCATGGCCAAGATCTATGCCAAAGCAAGTCGTGTTATTGTTTGGCTCGGAGAGGCGACAGCCACCAGCGACCATGCGCTTGAGGATATACGGATGAGTTCGAACCAGCAATCTCCAGCTATCGACAAAACAAATAAGGAAGCGATCCTTGCCCTCATCGAGCGGCAATGGTTTCAACGCATCTGGGTAAGGAGGAGGGGCGCGCTCCAGACTACCAGTAGAGCGCTAATAAGGTTCACTTGAATTAGGTCCTTCAGGAGGTTGCCGCAGCTCGGCATGTTCTCGTCAAATGCGGGCCTACCGAGATCGACGGATATGCGTTCGGCTCAGGCCTCGATGCACTCAAGTCGCTCTACGACGACAACCCAAACCTGCGCGGCTTGATCCCTCCAATAACCTACCTCATCAGAAACGCCGTCTTCCGGCCGAGATACAACGCGATTGAGCGAGGCAGATTCTCGCTATCTATCCGTCCTTTGGGCGAATTAGTAGATATGTTCCATACCCGCAAGGCTACAGTGCCTCTCGACAAAGTTTATGCCTTGCTTGGTATGAGCTCCGACGATCCCAGTGCGGCAGGATTATTAGCCGATTACGGTGCTTCATGGGAAACGGTCTTTAGGAAACTTGTTACCTTCTCCCTCTCAAATCAGATGTCTGTTGAGACTTGGGACGGGAAGGAGGTAGCGATGATCAGCGGCAAGGGCTGTGTTTTGGGCGAAGTATCTGTGGTTGAAGGAGATACAATCACTTGGAAGGTCACGCCCAAAGGTCGGAGCCAGTCCTTCACCCTCCCAGCATCAGCAAAACCAATCCGACCACGGGATGTCATCTGCCTCCTCCAAGGGGCATCAAGGCCTACAATCATTAGGCTGCACAAAGATTACTCAGCTGTTATCAGGATTGCGGTTTCCTTTGTGGACAATTCAGATGTTCCAAATACCAAGTGGTCAGAACGTCTAGAGTCCCTAGACGACTTCCTGCTTATCTGGGACTGGGACACATCTCAGGATCGCGTGCAGGCCAAGGAGTACCAAGATTTTCGAAGTGGACAAGGGCTATTCGATCACAAGTCGCAAGCTCAAAAGGACCTAGATAAAGCGACTAGATTATGGTGGGTGGGGCGGGTATTGGAAAGTCTTGGAAGATACGAGGAGGCAGTAAACAGTTTACAGAAGTCAGTGGAAATGGGCATTATGGTCCTGAGAGGCGCGCATAGCTTAGAATCGAGTTACGCAAGTTGGGCAGCCTGGGGAGATCTATTCGTTAAAGACAGGGGCGGTAAAGACAGGGGCGGGTGGGCGCCGCTGCTATATGCGGCGGAGAAGGGGTATGAGGGAGTTGTGCGGCAGCTCCTCGAGAGAGGCGCTGCGGTTGAGGCGAAGGATAACGACGGACGGACGCCGCTGTCGTGGGCCGCCGAGAAGGGCCACGAGGCCGTTGTCAAGCTACTGCTCGGGAAGGGCGCTAAGGTCGATGTCG